AAGAAAGAACACTTTTAGTATCTCCTGCTACAGTTTATTCTGGATTTAAAATTCTTGAACACCTGAAATAGTTTTTTTGTATATTCATAATAAGAACTTACTAAGTGCTTGTGGGTTCATTGATTGGAACTATTACCTTAACCTGTCATCTCAGCCCAATGGCTATGAAATCAGGAATGCCATTAAGGAAGATACTGAAAGTAAAACACTGCCTGAATATCTATATAACTCTAATATACTTAGTAGAATTGATTTCCTCAAAAAAGTGGAATAGAGAGCGCTAACAATGATCATAATGGAATCTGTCCCTGAAATTTTATAACAGACTGAGAAACAATGGAGATACGATGAGAGTAAAATGATTCTGATCAACAAAATCATGTGAAATGATTAAAAAATAAGGAGCCAGTCGGGTGTGCTGGCGCACCCCTGTAATTCCAGCACTCGGGAGGCTGAAGCAGGAGGATTTTGAGTTTGAGTTTGAGACCAGCCTGGGCTACACAGTGAGTTCAAGGTCAATCTTAACTACATAGTGAGACCCTGTCTCAAAAACCAAAACAAACAAACAAACAAAAAATAAGGAGCCATATAGTAAAACCAACGTAAGTGGTAGGCTTTGAAATTGGAGGGTCAAATATCAAAAGCAGTATTTTAAGGGGCTGGAGATCTAGCTCAGTGGTGCCACCACCTGCCTTGCAAGTGCAAAGTCCAGAGTTCCATCCCAGGTGCAAAAAAAAGAGAAGAAAAAAATTTTTTTTTTTTTATTTTAAAGGAGACCTGTGAGCTTTAGTTTATTGGTGAAACACTGGCCCGCCCAGCATGTGTAAGGTTCTGGGTTCCATGCTCAGCACTATTAAAAATAAAAAAATAAATAAATGAATGAATAAGAAAATAAATAGATAAATCGAAATTAATGCACATATAGGGTGATGCATTTTCAGAACTGTATTTTGTATGTAGGTTATGTACATTCACACACAGAGGACGGAAGATGAGAAGCACATCATGCAAAGTCACGCTGGCAGTGTTGGTTGTGCTGTATTTTTCCGAGTGGAAGATAATAGGAGCTTCTCTGAGTGGATTTGTTCCTTTATTCCAAATACGTTCATGCACCTTTGATACATTGGCTGGCATTATCGTTCAAAGTTAGAACTTTAATATTTGTATGGCTTCAGCATGTCTTGTACTAAACAGGAAGAGATCTTGGATCTACTAAGAATCTCACAAGTTTGCTAAGTTTGTCCCTGAGACGCCATCATGCCTGATTATTTATTGAAACAGAGAGCTGTGGCTTGTTCACAAATCACGATGCTTCACTAAGCGGTTGCTTAGTGGCCTCGTTCATGAATGGTCTATTCAGTGCCAGATCAGAAACTCTCCAAATTGAATTCTTAAGGCGTGAAGATTTGCTACTAGGCGATGGAAGAGCTTCTCTTTTAAGATCCTTGTTCTGAAGTGAACTTTGTACAGAAAATAAATGGCTTGAGTACTAGTAAATTGATGTCCCATCCAGAAAATGTGCTGTTTGTATTGTTTGGCAAATCCATTTTAAAAAGCATTACAAGGGCCGCGGATTTAGCTCAGCAGTCAGTGGCCTGCCTTGCAAGCGCAAGGACCCGAGTTCAATCCCCGGTACCAAAAAAAATGAAAAGCATTACAAACTTCATGACATCTAAAACTTGAGGCTCAGTAAAAGACTAAATGCAAGTATGCGTTCAAGACATTCTCTACTTCCTTGATACTCTATCTTTAATTAAATTAACATGCAATATTGATGTTTTAAGGTATTGGGTTTCTCTGAAAAGCTAAACAGTACAACTGAGATGGTTTTAACAAAATCTGTTTTGTTATTACTCTCACTTTGCTCATTAGGCTTAGCTTTCATGAATCCATAGCCTTCTTTTAAAATTGAAACTAAAAAAATAAGAAGAAAAACTTAAGATAATCTGTTTTATCTAACAGCATAATTTAATATAAATATCAATAAACATGTCACAAAGCATATTTAAGATTTTTGTGACCCCTTTGTGAAAAGTCATATCTCCTATTAATACATATTCCTAGATAATTAGTTTAAACATTTTTAGAATGTATATAAATTCAATATGTTATTGTTACTTTCTTACTTTCATATTTAGCAAAACATGCATTAAACAGTAGCGCTTAATATTTTTCTTACAGAGAGGGCCTGACAGGCCAACACTGAAGGTGAGAAAAAAAAGTGAAAATTTTAAATCAGGGAGATGAAGTAATGAAGAAACAGAAAATAAAGCTTTGCAATCAAATATGCTTAGTAATAAATGTTATGGTGCCGTCCCTTTCTCATTGTATGAACTTGGACTGGTCGCTGGGAGCCTCAAGACTCCTGTTCATGGAGATGTGGTCATAGAACCTCGAGGGGTGGCGGGATCACACATACACAAGCACAATACAAATACATTTGCTTATACGTGCTATGTGTTATAGATGTTCAGTAGCTATTTCCCCAATGTTAATGTAAATAAACATCCGCTTTTTTTCCAAATTTGAGATTAGATGCCATACTTATCACAGTGTTTCTGCTAACCAAATGTCACTTTTAATCTATAAATTGTGGTAATCCCTCCTTATCCTTTTTTCTCACAGTACAGCTAATAAACTGGCCCTACAGGTGTCTCTCTCACGTGTCTTGCAGACATCAGGAACATCTCTGGGGGAGCCATTGCTGGATCCCACCACCTTGCTGCTGCACACAAGGCTCTCCTCACAATGCCTGTGCCGTTTGGGATGTGAAATAAGAGACAGGAATAGTCACCCCTGCTGCCTCACAACTTGATTGGAAGTTCTGTAGTTACCGGAGACTCCTGCAGTTAGGTTCCAGTGCCCTGCCTCCAGTATATGACGGAGGCTTGAGAAATAAATACACTTAAAGACAGAGCTAAGACAGAGAAAGTGGGGTGCCAGGAAGACCAATGTCCGTGCAGCCAACAAGGGTGCCGGCCAATCCCAGATATTGCCTTTTATTGTCAGTCAGTTAAGGTAAAGGTGAGCTCCATGTAGTTTCTATGGAAATTAATGTAAACAGGGCTCCTAAAGAGCAAAACAAAGCATTCCCGAATTAGGAACAGAATAGATAAAATAAATAGTTGTAATCAGAACATTGTCCTTCTAGTCGGATGGTTTCAGTTGTGGGAATGGAATTTGGGTGCGAGTTACTCTCACTTCAGCATCTAAGCTTCCGCCAGACTCACTTCTATAAATAGCCTGTGGAGGGGTTAGCTCTTCACAGTCTGCTTTGGGTAGAATCAACATTATAGTCCTTTTGTTTTATTAACCTTCCAAAAAATAATCCCTTGTGTCCAATAAAGTTAGGTCCAGAGGTTACACAGACATAAAAGACACTCCTGAAATTAAAAAGCTTTGAATTATTTGGAAACACAACTAAGCCAACAGGGGGACGAAAGTGAAAGAAGCCCTGTGACAGCTGCTCCCAAGCCCAGATAACCAGCCCTCCCTTGAAATTGATGCTGATCCAGAGCAAAGCCTGAAAGCAGGTCATTTGGTTGGGAAGAAAATGAAACCTGTTTTTCTTTTTTTTTTTCAATTGAGACAAAATAACTCAAAACTGCAACTGCATCTGCAAAACAGCCAGTTCTGATTGAAAATGCCTAAGAAAATAAATAATCCCACATCTATTTGTCCATCTAAAGTCAACATAAAATCTTAAAATCGTTCCTGCAAATGGAAGGTGCGCTTACTTCTGAGTTCACATTGAGCACCAAGCCAAACAAAAATCTGTACAAATTTATAGGAACTTCAACATTCAAAAGTAAAAACAAGAGAATTATTTTTAAAGACTATTTTTACAATAAAAAACTTGTACCTTCTATAACTCTTACCATGTAATATTACAAGCAACTCAATAAAGATGATGATAATATTCACCCTGCCATACTTAATTTTAATTCTCACTTTATTACTAATTAACTAAAATTAGTAATAAACTAAGAATAAGAGTCTTGTATTACCAATAAACTAAGTAGGCAATTTTAACAATGACCCTAAAACATTTTTTTTTTCTTTTGAAAAGCTAGGTTAACAAAGAATACACATGTCCAAAAAGTAACCTTTTGATATAACTGCCCTTGATTTCAGGGAAAAGAGAACCAGGAAAATCCTGAGAAGGAAAGAACATTATCAGTATCCAAATCTTACTGTTTTATGTGCATTTAGAAAAAATTAAGTGAGTTTTCTCCACTAAAAGTAATATAAATTAGTACAGTGCTGTATTTCTTTCAAACCGTGTTTTTTTTTAAAGCTGCTTTTCACAAATTTTGCAATATGCCACTCCCTTCTCACTTTTCTTACTTGGCAATTTAATGGGCACCTCCAACTTTCCGCTGAGATCAAAGGGCTAGGTGTGGGAAGAAAGTTTTGTTTTACTACTAAGAGCAAACTTTCACTCAAAGGCTGAACGTTGTTTATAATGATAATAAGAACATTTGTATTCGGGGTCGTTTCAACCCTTTCGTATGATTTTTCAAATCTTGGACACAGGCCTTGCAGCACCTGGGCTTTAGGGTCAGATCAGACCAGAGGTCCCTGCACCATGAATGAGGCAACTTCAACCAAGGGAGGGAGTTGAGTTAATTGGGCTGTCACGAAGTCTGCGGAACATCTGGTATATAATAAACAAATGAATAGATGAAAACTCAGTAAAACAATACAATCTCAATGCCAATCAAATTTCAACAGAACATTTTAGGCAAAGGAATTGAAGTTCAGCCAGCGAATCACTCAAGTTGCCAGAAATTGGAAAGCTCACTAACGTCTTCACAGCAGACATCCTCACTTACCTAGGAACAGGAACATGTTGGTGATAGGGCTTACCTTTGTTCTAATTATTTCTGAACGGGCACTGAGCTGTTACCAAGCTACCACTGATGTGGGTATGGGAAAATGACAGGATCATTCACTGGTTACTATCGATTTTGTTCATCAGGAGGGAAAAGATATCCTACCCTGACGCTGTCTTCTTGCTTGTACTGCTTCCAGTTGCGTCCTGTGTCACTGAACATCAGGCTGTAGCTCGTCACCCAGTCAGAGCTTCCGTATCTGCCCTGCGTGGCCACCGCTGTAATCTCGACTCTGCTCCCCAGGTCCATCTGGAGCCACTGCTGAGTGTTGGAATCTGCTGGGGACCAACCACCGGTTCCTGGAATAGCATTCAAGGGAGAGAAAGAGCGAGCCCTCAGGGAGAGTTTCAGCAGTGTCGAGCATAGTCAGAGCTTTCAGCCGTCAAAGATCAATGAAACAGTGTTGAGGCAAGGCGACCTCACTCTGAGATGCAGAGTGCTGTTCCCTGTGTCAGCCCTAGAGACTCTGGTGCTCTCGTACCTAAGCTGACATCCCATCTCTCCATGGTTTAGGGTTAATTTCAATGCTGTCTTTGCTATTCTTCCTTCTTCTCTCAGTCATTGTGGCTTCTGTTTAATGAATACCTAGAGGAATTTCCAATTCAGGAAATTTATGAGAACCTAGTGGTTCTGTTTCTCGTCTTTAAATTGTAGCTTTCATTGCAGAGAAGCAAAAACTGTCCTCATATACTATCTGGAATTTCCCTTTCCTTCCTTTGTTTTATTCCTCTCCCTCTTTTCCCTGCTCTTTGTCTTTCCCCAAATAATCACCCTGAACCTACCATGAGACTGACATCTAACCATGGATCCAAAAATGAAACGGCCCTAAGTTTTTGAGGGGCTGGATTCACTTGTTCTACATCTGTTCACGAGCACCAAGAGCATGCTGGGTTCCGAAGAGTCAGCAAGACACACCCAATTCTGTGTAATATGGCAGGAAAGAAGCCCTGACAAGGGATAAACACAAGTGACGACTGCAGTGGAGAGGACAGATTGCCTAAAGAGGAGCTCGGAAGGCCTCCGAAAGACAGTGACATGAAGCTGAAATCTGAAGCAAAGATAGCCATGTCTGGAAGAAAAAAGGAGGGAAATTTAGGTTGACATCGACCAGAGCAGGGAGAACAGACACAAAACATCAGGGTCGAGAGGAAGCCAAGACATTCTGGGATCCACTTGTGACTCAGGGCTCTTGACACAGTGAAGCACCCAAATATGACAAAATTCAAGTTGGGGAATCAGCTCAGGAGCCCATCCACAGATAAATGGACTAAAAACACACACGGAAATATCATTCAGCCACAGGGAAGAGCAGAATTGTGGCATCTGCAAGAAAATGTACGAACCTGGAGATCACCCATCACGTTAAGTGAAATGAACCAGACCCAGAAAGTAAAGTATTGCAGTTTTTCTTTCATATGTGAAAACTGGAAAAAGATAAAGTTGAGTGGAATGTAGAAGACGACCAGGTAAGGTAGGGATGGGAGGACAGGGCAAGAGAAGGCCGTAGGAAAGGTGGAAACAAAGAATGCTATCTGTATGCATGGGAGTATCACAGTGAGCTTCATTAATTTGAACAAGGGATACGCAATAGTAATTATTAAGTCTAAAAAGTACTGTGGACTCGTGGTGTCATTATTACCCTTACTTGACCACTACAGAAAATGGCCACTATTTCTCACTTAGAAACCTTAGGATCCAGATTATCTGCTTCCATTTCACCAGGGAAAGAGGGAGCCAAGTAAGTAAAACTTCTACTGGCTCCAGATCACAAATCCTGTGACACTAAGTGGGGGTGCATTTCGGGATTAGCTACCTCTCTGAGGGCACCAGTTAGAGAGCGCATTGAAATTCTAATTTAGAGGAATTAAAATTCATTTTTCAGCTTATTTCATCGCGAACTGTTTTAGTGATGTTCCAAGTTCACTTTCCCCAGGCTGTTGGAGGAGGGGCCACCTGGACCTCTGCTGGGTAACAGAATGGCTTTATTAGCCATGACACCCCCTGCGGATCTCATCCTACAGGACTAAATGTTCAGACACAGGACACAAAGACAGGAAGTGAGAGCCCACGCTGGCCACAATGTACACTTTACAAACAAATGCCTGATTTTCTCCCAGTAAATAGCCAGTCTGATAAAGAATTTTTTCTTTTATTTCCTTTCCTTTCCTTTGCTTTCTTTTCTCCTCTCCCTCTCCCTCTCTCTCTCCCTCTC